GCTGTACTATCTACTACATTCTACCCCACTATCCCACTTTATGTTATAGTGTAACATACTGTACTATGCCATACTATACTATACTAAACTATGCTATACTAAACTATACTATACTAAGCCATACTATAACTACTATTATCATCTATTTTTGAAGAGCATGGTCACAAACATAAAAAGTGAACGCAAGCGATGAATGCGAAAGAGTAACAGGAGAACATGGGAGAAAAGAGAGAAACGTCTCATTCAAAATCATGCCAAGGACAGTTCTTGTCTGATGAGGTGAATCCCAAAGTATACTACACTACTACCAGTACAGCTAGTGCGGCATGCCAAACTGTGTTGTGTTATGCTACATCGTACTATACTATACTATACTATACTATACTATACTATACTATACTATACTATACTATACTATACTATACTATACTATACTATACTATACTATACTATAATATACTATACTATACTATACTATACTGTGTGTTCGATTTGATTCCCAGTCTTTGCATTATTGTCAGTAAACAGTAATGTTTATAACTGCTTACATGTATTGACCAAAACAATTCAACAAAGATCAATTGGGTTGGATAAAGTGCCTCCTGAAATGTTCACTCATTGCTCTTGCTGATTTGGCGCTCATGATCCTTAAGTTGATTCTTAGGAGACACTTTGTTTCATGAACCATTATTTTGACTCCACGGAGGGGCCATTTATGAAACCTAGCAAGCTATGTGGGTCACTGTTGGTCTGGACGATGCAGGCAAAGAGATGAAACGGAATCATTCATCATCATCATTATTGTCAGCTGTAAGAACCGCGTACTCGTCGTACAGTGGTTGTAGCTGCCGCAGTTTCGTTCACCGATGATTGGAGGGTGGGTGGGTAGCTGCGCATTGCATCCACGAGCTGGTAAATTGGTGCGTAAATCCAGCACTGTCAGTGGGTTGTCAAGCGGGGGGTGGGTGGATAAGAAGCCACGCATTGAAGGCAATAGCTTTGATGCATGAGCGCCATTTGGGGGGGGGGGGGCGACTGGGCCATGTCTGATAATGTCTCTAGCCATTGATGTGGCCCGTCTCGGGGTCCCCATCCAGGAAGACGGCAGTGACCAGCGCAGCTGAGTTTGCTGGTAATGGCTTTCATACTTCGCTCCCAAGTCATTGTTTGACCGCCTCTGACTCTCTTCCACCCTTCACATGGTTGGGCGAAAAGAGCCTCCAGGTTAACTGTGCAGGCGGACTGTCCCCAAATATGTGGCCTAGTCATTAGATAAGGTAATCGTAACCATTACACCCTCATGGTTGAAGTCTTTTGGAGTGGAAAATCATGAGCATACGAGGAAAAGAGTGCGTGGGTTTTATGGCCTACAAGTGAAATATACCTACCAGGCATACGGTCCACACGTTGAGTGGTATTAATTTGTGTTGTTGAGTTTAGGGCTCATTCAACAAAAACAAGGCCACGTCATACCATAAAAAGACATCTGAACGTGATATGTATATACCTAAAGCTAGTACGTTCGGAAAAAGTAAAAGCCACCTTGTACATAAAAACCTCATAGGGGATCTCCGCAGAGAAATGGTGATTTAGAACAATGTGGTTCAAGTTACAGCCTCATATTTATCGTGTAGCTAATCTAAGAACCAGGGTTCACTAAGGACCAGCCTGTGGTTCATCACCGTCGGAACTTTGAAAGCATCATGGATGCGCTGGAAACAACCAGGTCAAACGGATCACAGACGAACTGGGCAGTCATGTTTAGCAAATAATTGCTAGATGAGGGGACCCATGAGGATTATTTACGGAGCAGGGAGATATAGACTTCTGAAGGCTGCAATTTATCGGAAAATGCAACAAAGTGCAGTGAAGTCAAAGATCATCCTAAAGATTTCGCTACATTTGAAGTATAGGAAAAAGAGAGATACTCTGTGTTCAGATGTAAATTAAATACAACAGGAATGGAAATAGACTGGGTTAGGTAATAATCCCTCAGGAGTATAGGTTCGTCCGGTCGACACTCAGTACCTGCATGATGTATTAAAGAAGAAAGATCCTTCCTTAGATAGTGCCATCCTCACCATCTTTCCGGCATGAAATGAAAGACAAACAGGGGGCTCCTAATAATACTACCTCGTTGCAGTTGCCTCAATTGTTTTGGTTTAGGATATAAGTTTGCAGGATTACAACGCGTATCTACACATAATCTACCCATGCTCAGTTATTGTAATGGTCGAAAGCAAGTGTGGTCTGAATTCCGCTAGGACGTCGGAAAGTGTGTAAAATGCACGGTCAAGTAATTACAAAAAACTCACCGAAAATTGCCGAAATTTCGATCGACAATATGTGGAGCATTTCATTGAAAGTTACCCAAAAGCACTTTAGTCATGAAAAAAATTAGATTACTAGTGGGGCTGCGGTTTACCCATTCAAAATTTTCGGGCCATAATAATGTGTCACGCCACCTGGCCGTTTCTATTTCCACTTACTCATCGACCATCACGACAGCCAGCGCGACTGGTCTGTAAAAACACTTTCCCCAAGTCCATTCACCTTGGTCACTCGTATCACGTGTCAGTGGTCAAGGTCATTGGAATTTTGAGGACACGAATAATTTTTTGATAATTATCGATTTGTCCTTGACCCGGTTATTTCTAAGGCTTCTAACCAAAGCACAGTGGTAACAAATTAATCCGCTCAAGTTTGATTGAAAAACTCGCTTCAGCGTTTCACATGCCCTAGAAAACGATGTTCCTTTTCTGTAATTGTGAACGGAATATTGTTGCAAAATCAAACGTTCTCTGAATGGAGGCAGTCAAGCAAATTCAAAGATGAATCAAACTTTTCATGAACCACCTACCTTTAGAGCGACCCATACTAATCCTACGGCATAATTACAAATTTACTCACCGGAAATGGAATAAGTGGCATGTCAGAATGTTTCATAACTTGTGTTCCGCCAACTCCACTAAACCATGTCGCTTGAGGCTTTATAGGACCGGTTGTCAGGATCTTCACACCGTTACAATGATCCTGGATCTTACAACGTGCACCTCTGTGGCCCATGATAATATGCGCGGGATTGTCGAATTGCTGGTACTAGTCTGCTCCGTAGCTAGCCCACTAGTCCTTCAGATTGGGACTAGAATTGCCTTGGTGACCACATTCATAAATGATGACTTATGGTAGTTTTTTTATGTCAATCACCACTGCCATGTGGCATGTGTTTAGAAGTGTTGATAACTAAGAATAGCTAACTAAGAATAGCTACTTCTTCGGCACAATTCATTCTTTTTCCCAAAACAAAGCTCGTTAATACAAATGTGTGACACAACATGGATGAGTAAGTGTTCATTATTAACGCTATGCTATCAGCGATTAAATTCAATATTAGACTTTAGAGTGTGGTGTAAATGGCGCATAGGGATATCTTCTTATTCATTCGAAAAAAGACTGCGTCTGCTGCAGAGCACGAGAGACTGATCGCAACTATGCGGACATCCATGGTACACCAAGCAAGCGCCGCTCAACTGCGAAACGAAGGCTGTCCGGAAGAGATACAACGAGGTATTCATCCTGACGGATGCCATCTGGCGAAGGAGGAGCAACCCGGATAAGGCAAGATTTGGGAACAAATATCAAGATATTTTTGTATTCATGCTAGATGAAGATATGAACTCGCATGTTTTTGAGATGTACGCTGTGCTTACCAGCTGATAATGATGATGATGATGATGATGATGATGATGATGATGATGATGATGATGATGATGATGATGATGATGATGATGATGATGATGATGATGATGATGGTCCTTCATCTGCAGAATGTCTATCCACGTGTTTCTTCTTGACTATCTATATTATACTGCCTTTTGTGACGAATAAGCCTGTCATGAAATGCAAATCTGGACAGCTAGTTACCCTAAGGACAAAAGAAAATGGGTGAGAATTGGTTTGCAGAATAACGAAAGCAAGTGTATTTGTAGGGGAATTGAATTGGGCTGGGTTACGGCACTTCATATCTTTCTTCAGTCGAGCCGCATCGTTTTGTTTGCTCCAAAAACTGCGCCTCATCAGTTGGATAAAAACTCAAGTCGGTCCAATGAGCGATACGAAGCAGATTATGTACAAATTCACAGGTAAAGGTTTACATGGAAGCACATACAGACCAGACGCTTCATCCGCTGTGGTTTTTTCGCAATTTAAAGCAAACTATGTTTTGCCGTCTAGTGATTTTGGAGCAACCACGGGGAAATGTCGTAACTAGTAGCTGTTGTTCTGACTGGAACAGCAAAGCTCACACTAGAATTCTTCGGGCTCTGAAACAACTTGTGACCGCGGAATGCGTTTGTTTTACCTGAAAAAATAATTAGTGTTTGAATTTTGGTCTCTTCAACGATCTTTACAGTTAAACTGGAAGAATTTCATCATCCATTCGTGTCGCAGTCAGAGCTGGTTTGAATGGATCTTTTAGCACTTGCGGCTATGATGCGAAACATTCCATTATTCAAGGGTTGTTCCACAAACGTAGTTTTGTTCTCACGGCAAATTCTGTGAAATTGCGGTGGGAAAATTTCCAAAAAGCAACATCTACATGTAGGTATTTTCGTGAGCGGAACAGAAAAAAATAATGGGTTGTTCAAAGAGTCTGATATAAACCAAGGCGCGTGTTATCAGAGAAGTCGACAAGTGAAGCTAGTCAAGTGGTCTAAATTTGTTGACAGTTTAGGGATTAGTCAGATCACAGATGGCACAATACGGCAAAAAGAACCTACTGCAGCTGGGCTCCATTAAAGAACCGCAAACTTCTTGCCTGAAAAACTGAATAAATTATTGCTCTTTAAGGTAATAGGTTTGGTAGAGTTTTGTGGGAAATCACGGTTTTACCAAAGCCTTTGACTCTTTAGAACTAATTTCTTGTCACAGGGGCTTACAAGTTTGCAAAATGTATTCGATAAACTGTGATGCGCTGTATGCCCGCTTGTGGAATAATGACTTGAAAGTGATGCTCATAATGAAGTTCATAGTGAAGTTTTTCTTCTCAGTGGCGAACGGACGCACGAAGTCTCGAACAGTGAACGGTCTTAAAAAATTCAAACGGCAGTAACGAATACTGGTATTCGGCTTTTGAGGTTGACGTGACTACGTGGGTCGCTACCGATTCGGCTTTTGAGGTTGACGTGACTACGTCGCTACCACCACCCGAGTTCAGCTGTTGTATTTAAATGCCAGTGCAGTGAAAAACTGTCATCAGTAATCTAAACCTTTGTTCACTCAACCTGGTAAAATCCACATACCAATAGTGAGAGGTCGTGTGATGGCAAGACTACTGGTTCTCAAGAGTAGTAGGAAATATTTCACCGAAAAATATAGTTGGGCTCTTGACCCCATTACTAACAAAATTGCCGAGCTTTCAGGACAAACCAGTTGTATTAAAATAGACAGACAGATGAACATCAGGCGTCAAAACGTCACTACCCATCCAGTTAAATGTGACGCTCCCCAGTTTCTCTAAGAATTTGCACAATATGAACTCGACAACATAGCCGAAACTACCTCCCACTAAGTGTCCGACAGGGGTTTCTGATCGATACATTCAAGAATTCAATAGATCCGTAGTTCAGTAAATGAAGGACATCCAAGCTCAGAATTATTACAAAGCGGCAGCACTACCAAGCTTATCTGAGTTTCTCGGTTGTTCTCCTTTGACTTATTTGGAACAATTATGAAGGCCCGTTGCGGCAGCCTGTGGGCATTCCACTAGATTTTTTCCACCAAAATCAAGCTACTCGTAAGTAGTCGAGAGTAAATGGGCTCGAAATGCCTACCGGTAGCCCCGGTACCCAACCAAACACTCGTTTTTGTTTACTCTATCGATGAGGACGCGCTTGCAAGCCAGTTGCCAACGTGAAAGGATAGACTTGTCGCTGATTAACGACCGGTAAGTGACTTCACTCCACTTGCTACCCGCGCAGGGTTTCGGTATGTTTCAGGTCCGCATTCCATCAAGCACAAGAAAACCAAGTCGAATCTATGGGACTCGTTAACGAAGAAATCAGGAGGAGTCTCATTCTTTTCAAAGTACCTTCAGTCTGTAGTCTTGGATGGATTAAAACAAGGCGTCATTCATTGAGCACTATGTCTTAGTTGGGAACGGTTGAAACACTGGCATACCACTTAACACTTGCG